ACTGGCACTTACACTTAAGTCAGAGAGTAGGAGCAAATCTAAGAAATTTTCAGCACTTAAGTCTAAAAATCCACTCTTAAGAAGTTTGATAAATACGGGCCCTGATTAATAATAGGCGGGCACTGCTAACTGAGCAGCTGGTCCCGGTAACTGAGAGACTGGTGCTGGCAAATGAGGAGGAGACTATTCATTTGTGTTAGCATCAGAGTGGCTAATGGCTAGTATGGATAAGCTGGGGTTAGCATTGGAGAGACTAGCGACTAGCATTCCTAGACAGCTCACCTACTTTATTAGACACAAACCTTTTTGAATAAAGAAAACTTTCTCAACAAAAAAAACCCATAAGCTCCTCGCACTGACAGGTGTTCCTGAGACAGAATTTACTGTTCAACACGACGTCAAGCACAAATATTAAACATAAAACATATTACCGTGAGGCAGACTGCTTTATTTACCACTTGAATTAGCAGCTGCACTGTCAACGACTCTTTTTTTTCCTTTCTATTAACTGAATTATGGGAAAAACCAGAACTATCAAGTTGGGGACTTTTAGAGAAAGTTTAGTTTATAGAGAAAGTTTTCTTTATTCAGAAAAGTTTGTCTAATACAGTAGGTAAGCAGCCTAGGCATGCTAGTCGCTAGCCTCTCCAATGCTAACACAAGCTTATTCATGCTAGTCGCTAGCCTCTCCGATGCTAACACAAATCCTTCTCATTTACCAGCGCCGTCCTATCATTCAGATCAACAGCTGGCTTAGTAATAGATATAACATCCTGCTACAAGGATGTAACAACCTCTGGTTGAGCAACAGTCTTAATTTTGGTCCTCATATGGCATCACATCTTTAAACATTCTTTACTGCTGAATTTATTTTGGGTTTTTAAAACAGAAAGGGGCCGATCCGAGCCCCCGAACACCTGAGAGCCACAGTCCGGTGGGACTATCAGCCGGATATCTGCAAAGACTACAAGGAGACAGGTTTCTGTGGTTTCGGAGGTTAGTAAGACTGAGTATTAAAGNAGTCATAATTATGAGATACAAGTTTTATTTATTTTTTATCAGGGTGGCGGAAATGGGCTTCCATACATAATTACATTTAGTACATACAAAAAAAAACAACCTCTGCCACTAGCAGCGCTGAACTCATTTGACCCCTGTCCAGCAGGGGGCGCTGTGAGCAGAGCTAATGTTTTTATTTAGAAGGAAAAAAATGGCGGATCCAGAAGAACCAAAAGCAGGTTCTTGTACGTTTCTGTTCAAAAAATCTAGCAAAAAATTCTCCGGACGAAAAAGAAAAGCAAGCGACAGTGATAAAGGTAGTAAATTCTCACTTACATGTCCTTTCTGTGGAATTTTTGTGACCGCTGCGGTTTATAGGCGATCGTCTGAATGTTGTGATCTTAAAAGATCAAATCAGTGTCCTGTTTCTTTGTGTGCGTTTCTGTGTTTTATTTAACAACTAAGTAAATAAACAATACGTGCACGCATTTATATCCGCTCAGGAACGCGAAATTTTAACTTACTGTTAAATTGATTTTATGTGATACGGATTGTGCTGCGTTCAAGGTTCCTCGGACCTTTTTTTTTTTTGACAATTTGCGCATTCTTTCATATATTTTCCATTTCTGTCATTATTAAAACACTAAAATTGTATCATAATAAATCCTTTATCTCGTATTACTCATACAAGGCTTGTTTAAAATGAATTTAATCAACAAAACGATTTAATTTTCAGACAGTGGCAGTGACGAGGATCAGAGTGTTGTCATCAGAAAAGAAAAGAAAGATGCTCGAGTCAACCCTATGATTCAAAAGGTACAGCAATAAAAAAAATATGTAAATTCGGTTTTTAGTTAATTTGGTAGTTTTAATGTGTTTTATTTCTTTCAACCAGTCTAAAAGGGTAGAGAGGGATGCTGTGTCTTCTAGTGAGAGCGAAGATGACAAAGAAGACAAGATCACGGTTGCTTACAAGTCCACGCGTTCAGCGGTGAGTTTAAAGTGTTTCTTTTATGTTGAACTTTATTTAGAATGCTTAAATGTCAAAGTCATGGAATACAAACAAACAAATTTGACCTTTTAAACAAAAGAAAATTGGGACAGGCTAAATTCAAATAAACAGAACTTGTTATGTATTTTTCTGCTTTAGATGTGCTGTCGTGGAGCTGTTTTAGTGATGCAATGTTAAATTTTCTAACTTTCTGCTACTCCTGTTTAAAAATAAAAGAAACCAGAGGGACCCGAGGACATGGGTGCCACTGCTACGTATCAGCTGGACACAGAGAGAGACAAGGACGCCCAGGCTATTTTTGAGAGGAGTCAGAAAATTCAAGAGGTACAATTTAAAAGTTGTAATGCTTAAAAGCACACTTTAGAAAGGATATATTTTTAACCCAATAAAGCTACACATCGCAAACTATGAAATCAAACATATTGAACTGTATATCAAATGGAAAGATTACCACGATCGAACAAGTTTTCTGTTTCAAAAGGAGCTGACAGGAAAAGAAGATGATAAAATCTATCGTGGCATCAATAACTACCAGAAGTTCATTAAGCCTAAAGACACCACGATGGGCAATGCCTCGTCTGGCATGGTCAGGTGAGGTGACACGGATCCACATGCTGTCTTTATATGGCACGGTAAGAGGGTCAAAATTAAGACTACTGAGCAACCAGCGGTTGCTACATGCTTGTAGCAGGAGGCTATCTATTCCTAAGCTAGCTATTGATCTGGGCCTGTATTTATCTTAAGAATGCTGCTAAGAGTGGACTTAAGTGTAACAAAAAATTCTGTTAAAAGCTGAGAGTAAAGTCCTCTGGAGCAGTCTTAACTTTTCCTGAGAGTAAGACTGATTCTTAGACTTAAGAATTTTGATAACTGGCACTTACAC